ACAACTATGTGCTTAAAAATTACTCCGAATGATTCAACAAATTTGTAAAATATAAATAATAGCTTTAGAGCTTTGAGACACAATTTATGGTAGTGCTTTCAAATTTAGGACTCAACGAGTTTCCAATTTCAGTACGGAATCAAGGATTCTGCAACAAGCAGTAAAATATGGAGCACTACTTCCTGCTGCCGTTTCAAGTAAAAAAAAAAAACGCTTTATCTGAAAATTTGAGTTTTTATTGCTTCGATAGTTGAGTGGATATTTTCTGAGTACCAGCCCTCATAATCAAACACCGGTCGGGATGACAGGTCCAGTCCGGGCAGATCTGAGAGCTTACCATCTTAGCCGAAAGTAGTCGCACCACTCTCTAGCGCATTGAGATCTCGAATGCATAAGTCACTGCTGGATTTGCCAACAATGAGAAGATTAGGGAAGGCAGAAGTGTTGCAAAAGGAACAAAGTGTCAACGGCAAGGAAACAAAACTGTTGGCTAAACCCCTTCGCCTTGCCCAGTTGCCCTTCGACTCCATGTGGTACGCAAATGTCCCGTCTTCTGACTCGAGTTCCCCTTCCATGATATGTAATGATGTGATTAGAAATAACGTGGTGATTGTTTTGTGGTAAAAATATTGTGCGGCGGTAGCTTTGAGCTGCTGCTGCTCCGCTCCCTCTTCTGCGTACTTATACGGTGGCAACTTGGAGACGCTGCCGAATTTTCCGCCGATTTTGAGTTTTTTTTTTTGATAAAGCTTTTTTCATTGGTTTGGGCAAGTGCCCCCCTCCCCCTCCCACCCTTGCACAGCTGCACCCTCTACAGCCGCGCAGGCCTCCAGCCTCCATGCGTTACAGAAGAGGTTTTTACATTACACGTAACACAGCACTGCTGGAACAACTGCAGTCAAAAAATGGCTATGTCGCATCCAGGCATCATCAAAGGGCTCGTGTCCAATTTCACATACTTCGGAGAACTCCAGTAAAACGCTTTTGATTATCAAAATTAAAATGTAGGGACGTTTGGTACCAGCACTTACCTGCATATCTCGCCATGTTAACTTTGGATTGGCCTCAAGCGTCAGGGCAACAATGCCG